AAATGCATGCTGAACTGAAGTGCTGGACTACTTTTCAAATGACCAGACTAAAGTGATCAACCCATATTTAAAACTCTTAATATATATTTACTCATATAAACTGGATGTCTTATATACATTATAGTGTCTGACTCAAGGAGCTACCAGAACTCTCTTTGAGATCTACTTATTGTTCACCCCTGCTGTACTGTAATATTGATTTTTTGTGGTGAGGTTTCAACTGTCTGTTGAATCAGTAACTAATGCAGAGGATGAATTGTCTCCTTTAATGGTAGTGAGAGTAAAATCACATTGAAACTCCTTAGAAAACATCATCTCTGGCAAACGTCACATTTCCGACAGGAATCAGAATTTTCATGTAGGAGAACTGACACCCGCCTACGTGCCACTGACACGCTGCATGTGGGACGGAATGTGTTCACAGATTGGCAGCCTGGACTTCTCCTCTATAAATGGATACCACGTTTATCGTCATGCAAGCAAGCAACCTAGTTGCCTGCTAAAATATGCAATTCTTTTAAATTCAATATGTTTCAGTGTGACACGCTCCTGCTCCGAAACATGAACGCATGTACCTTTACCTTTACCCACGTTTTCTGCACAGACCTGGGTTTCGAAGGCCATCCCTTCAGGTCCACAGGACACCACAACAATATTCTACTGCCCATCAGAACGTCATCCTCATTATTTTTCCTTCTTCTATTGTGTCATTTCAACTCTACGCCTATGACGTCTTCAGTTCCTGAAAATAGCTCTGTGCTACTTTTTTAAACCAAGGTGTTAAAACTAATTGATGCCAAACTAATTGGGAATTGGAGCTGGAAGGATGCCAACACAGGGAGCTGCAAAAACTCCCACTTCATCTGCTCCTCCTCTCTAAATCTGTGGCTATTGACGTAGATCCAACTTCTGTTGCCGACATTTAAAATAGATCTATTGTTGTTAAAGAATAGACAAAGAATTGATTACCAAGTTCAAATGTTCAGCACTTATTTGACTTATATGATTTTTTTTTCCTTCTGACCAATTACCCTTCATCTAGTTCCACTCATGAACTCACATTCACACATTGCACAGTGTACAAATAGTCATTCTATCACATATTCTTAACATGCAAATATTCACGGCATTTATTCATTTAATTTTGATATGATTCCTCCTCTTGGGATTACAAGTGTAGATCTGATCTCTGTTCAAATTCTAGTGACCTGATATTATATCTCCGTGCCTATAGTGTTGCAATATATTTGCAAGATACGGTGTCGTTCCCCCTCTACCGTGATGCGTATCGTATCACCAGATTCTTGTCATACACATTCTTACTGTTGACCGATGGATCCTAATTCACCTTGTTTTATACAATATGTATTTAAAATATATCATTTTTCATTTCAAATCCTTTTGGCATGTCAAGGACAGCACTCATCCCACCTGAACGTGTGAGTGGAAGAGGATATGACCGAGGTCGTTTCTAGGGCCACGCATGCTTAGCATCCCTCATCCGTCCTCGCACCTTATTTTTCTTTTGAGTTGGCTCAGCCCAGAGCACACGACAACTGGCACCAGCCAATCTTGGCTGCCTACCTCTGCCACCTGGTGCTCCTTATGCTGCTTATGTGGATTTTTTTTTCCTCTCTCTGCAAGATCACCCTGCAGTTCCATCTGTGCTTTCAGAAAGATGGTTTGGATGTTTGTCTCTAAGTGAATATTGCTCCGCTTCAGCAAAATAATCAAGTTTAATATATATATATATATAAACCATAGGTCAACAACGTAGTGCCCCCTGGTGGTGGGTATGTTCTAACAAAAAACTGGTCAGCAAGAGGGTTGAAAATCTTACTCTCACTGTACTTTTTGAACAAGTTACACTTGCAATGATATTCAAATGACGATGGTATGAAGAGTGTCTACAATTGTCTGTCCCAGAACTGATGATTATTACATTGTCTGTGTCAAAACAAGTAGCTGTTCGTATTAGTAATATAATAAAAAATATCAGGCATTTTATTTTGTAAAATAAAAATACCAGATTTTGCTAACAGCTCTTAAAGTCTTTGCTTTTGAACCAAACCAATGTCATAGAATAGTATTAGTTTAGTATTTAAAAAAAAAAAGCTTTGTAAAGGGTGGCAGATAACACGTTGTGTGTCTTATTAATTCAATAATCATATAATTACACTCTCTCCTGTACTTGTTGTTTTTGTGACGCAGTTGGACTTGGCTGTGAGTCAAAGTAGTCATTAGAACTTATGTCATCCAGAGACAGACTGCAACTGTGATGATGTGCCATAATTATGGAAAGTTAACTGACTCTTGCCCTGCATCCCTGCACTTAAATCTTAAGGTAAAACAGTACACTGTGGCTAACATTAATCACCATACATGAAATATTTGACTGAACTGGTACACAAATAAAATTAAAAGAAATACTGCATCATATCATCTTGAAGCACAACCTGCACTGTCCTGGCTAATTCTAATTTACTCTTTATTAAACATGTAGCTAGATGTCATGTCTCATTTGACATTTAAAAAACACACACTGCTTTAAAAGCCTGTAATTATCAGACTGTCAACGTCACACATTCCATTTTGTTGTTGTAATGCTTTTTAGTTAATGGACTCAGTGTGGCTGTTGAACTGAAATGTCTTTGTGGGTCAGTAACATAACTGTAATTAACCATGTGACATTTCTGCATTCTCTTGTTTTATAAGCTTTATTTTTTTATTTTTACATCACACTAGTAATGTTGAAGAATGATTGAGGACAGGGTTGTTGTTGTTTTTTCTATATAGTGTCTTGACTTTATTTGTTTTGCAAATGTTTGATTTCATTCCCTGCAAAACACAACACACTTTTGTTAAGTTAAGACTTAAGCAAAGACCAAAGCCATAATTGGCTTCAAAAAGAATGGTACAACAACGTTTACTGATTTGGTTGAATGGTTTTTGTGTTAGAGATTTCAAAAATAACCTAAAATAACTGCCAAGACACTAATCCGTGAACTATTCCTGTCTACACCTGATGGGACAGAAAAGACCTTTATTTGAACCCTACACAAGAACATACCAATGAGGTTATAGAACCGGACATGGTCTTATAACAACGTTAGGACAAGATCTCGTCAGGCGTGTTATTTAATACAGTTCTCTCTGCTCATCACCATGGGTTTGGGCCGGGAGAACTGGGATCTTTCAGTCATTTAAATTAGTGCCTTTTTGTCAAGTTCATTTAATTATTCACCTTTTCAGATGATGAGGTTGGGTTAAGAACATATTAAGGGAACTGTGAAGAACTAACACCAAAGTGGATGTTACTTAGTGACCCAGCAGTCTCCAGATGACGCATACACAGGACAGTTCCCCAGTCAATCGCAGGGACAAATATAGAAACAAAGAACACTTCCATTCATTCATGTACATATACTTCATAAACTACATGAAGAAGGACTGGTGACCTTCTTTTTGTAAGGCAAGAGCACTAACCCCCCTACATGTTGCCCAGCTCATGACAAAAGATGGATCTGTATAAAAATTAACGGGTATATCTCAAAATATTTTTACAAAAAAAGGTTACACAACGCACCATGTAAATAAATGGAGTGCTGGGTATTTTTGTTTTGTAATATACTTTTGCACTGTGTGTTCCATTACATCATGAAGTCATGTTTTGTCTCGGTGCGTCTCGGAGGGTTTGTCCACAACAACAGCTCCCATTCACTCACGCACATACAAAACTTGTATAACCGTTTAGATAACAGTCAGTTGCATGGAGCCAACCATCGGCATCCTCCCATTCACCCGCAGCTGAGTCGTAGTGAGCCGCTCCCACCTCCCTCACGCCGCCGCCAGAGGCCGTGGGGTTCCACGTGAAAGCGGTCACACACTTACGTAAACGGACCGACTTTCTACTCGGCCAGTGACAGCACGGTCCGACAGTTGTCGTGTCCGCCCACATAGAGGGTGAACAACCCTGATTGGATCAGCGTGCAATGACGTAAAGACGTACAGCTCGAGGAGCTAATAGACACAAAGTTGGAGGCGGGGCTTAGTGCAGGGGGCTGGAAATGAGGTCAGCGCTTCTCCAGCTGGAGCAGTCGACAGGCATCCGCCTTGAATGAACTTCAGCTGGGGTGAAGCAGTGGGATAGACGAGCCTCGGACAACAGATCGCGTCAATCAGCGGTTACCTCCGAAATCAACGGTTCATTATCTGCACCGAAGAACTGCCTTGTGCAAGGTTGGTGGTGTTTGACTCGTGTTTCCTAATGCATGCCTGTCTTTTTAAGCGTTCGAGAAAATGCAGTGTACGCGTTGTACATCATGTACGGGCGCAAAGCGTGAAAGTTGTATAACTGTGTCAGTGGAAGGGAGGGTCATTGTCGGTCAGTAGACTTCAGTGGACGGGCTCCAGATGTAACGCAGTGTTCTGTCATAGCTCGCTCTTATACAAAAATACAGTAAAAAAAAAAAAAAAGAAAGAAAGAATCCGAGCGGTTACAGTGGGCTCACGGTGCTGCACGGATGACATAAGTCGTTGTGAAAGACGTCACATTCAAACTTACATAAAGAGTCTCCAGCAGCATCACAAGTTCACATGCCGAACATTCATTCATTCATTCACTGTCTGCCACCGTGTACCGGTTAAAGTGCGCTGATCGCAGTCCAGTTTTATTGCAAAGACAGTGAGACTAGAGTAGAGGCGTAGGAAGAAGACAGTATTTCTTTAATGTAGTGGACAACCTTATACCATATATTTACTTTTATGTAACTGCTCAAAAACAGCCTTCCCTGATAGGTTAAACACATAAGATGTAGATTTGTAAAAATAGAAGAAAATACAAAAGAAATCCAAACTATGCATTAAGTTATGCTGCAGGGAGGTTCAAAGAATAATAGTAAAAATAAAAGTAATAATGCAAATTAACAATAATTAAATCTGTACTTCTCACATTTTAATTGATAACTATTGTGACTCCATGTTTGTGATTTATGTTTAGCTGTTGATGGAGAACTAACATGGATGTATAGAAAAGTGCAGGTTCTCACCAGGGTTACTTCACTGATGTATCACTAAGACTTTATGTTGACCATTTTACTTGCTGTTCACCTGATATTTATGTTCTTTTGTTGGATTCAACCATAGTCTCCTTAGAACTGGAGCCACAAGTTT